ATGACCTCTATTTTAAAGTGCTTTCTTTCATGCAAGAAGGGGCTGCAACCCACCAGAAGCCAACACTAAATTAAAGGGCAGCAGTTAAAATATTTATGCCTTGCCTTTGCATCACTACAGACCTGTGAGTTGCCTTACAGCTAAGCAATAAAACAATAATAAAACTATTAACTGTGCAAGAGGGGATTTTGCTCTGAAAGCAGCCAGGGGCTCCAGGTAGAGCTGTGGGTAAAGTAAAGGGATGCATTTAGGAATGTTGTGATTGTTTCTGGCTCTTCACTGCCCTCTCTGAGAAGATCCACCATGTCTCTCTTCTTCATAAGGGCTGGAAGTCATGAGGCATTTTCTGGGGGCTGCCTGTGTTATTCTGGGGCCTGGATGCTTTGATTGGCCAGCAGGAGGACAATGCTTTGGATGTGCAGCTATTACAGAAGAACCAGGAAAAGCCAAGCTGACCTTTCATACCTCCCAAATTCCCAATGATCTGTCCAAGAATAAAGACTGAATCCATAATGTGTAGTGATGGCTTAACCGTGGAAAGATCCGTATTTCATGAAGTTGTGTTAATGCGGCTCAGACACACTAAGCGAAATAGGGAGATTTCCTCAAACTCACATTTGTTTTTATTTGGAAAGTAACGAATGCCTGTAGCAAGATTTTGAAGTTTAATTGCCCAGATGTAGATGGCAAGCAAGATGAAGCATTACAAGAAGACAGCTGTAGATGAATGGATTGAGAGAATAACCTCCGGGCATTTGCCTATGAGCAGACATGTATAAATGCATTAATTCTGAACCTCTGACATCAGATATTTTGTATAGAAATGTTTAAGTGATGTTTGATCATTTGGAATCAGAAGACCTTTTTTTGTGGTTATTGGAGCTTCTGAAACCCGTCATCCGTTCCGTGTTCTCTGAAGTTATCAAATACATTTTCCAGCAATAATCTCTGATGGAAATCGGTGGCAACAGCCCCAGGGGTGGAATTGCCTTCTGAATCCCTACTGCTTCATGCTTTCCTGGAGGCTTCAGTGCCCTGAAGCTTCTGCCTCACTGAAAGTTTTATTTGTCCTGCTTCTGGAGTTGACTTGATTTATCACCTGAAATTGGAGGCTGCAGTGAAAGAGGTGAGCATGGTCATCTCTAAGACTCTGGGGAAAAATAGGCTCCAGCAAGACTCAGAACTGACTGCAACTGCTAATTGAAAGGATGCCTAATCAGATTTTCACACCATTCTGTTCCTGAAAAAAAGAGGGTTTTTTTTAATGCTTTCAATGGCTCTTTGGGTGCGTAATTTACAATCTTGATGAGCCTGTATCTCTCAGGATTAAAAATGGTCTCTTTTGGCAATTACGTATGTCCAGTTCAGTAGACATATCCAAAGCTGTTGTAAATAAACAAATAATAAATGTCTGTTATTTAAATGAGCCTTGTGGCATTGTGGGACTTTCTGATTATGTGCTTCTTCCAAAGTCACAGAAAATACTTTTGTTCACACTGATATTTGTGATCTTTTGACTAATCTTGGGTCCATCCTTATCTTTCTCTGTTTTCTGTAATGCAGTGGTCCCCAACCTTTGTGGCTTTGTGGACTGGGTGAGGGGAGGGAGGAAAGGGTTGTGAGCAGCAGGCTTGTGCACACAGCTCCATTTGCACGAGCAGCGGGCACCCCTATGCGCGCGTGAAGCTCCATTTGTGTGAGTGGGGATGTGTGCCTGCTGCTCACACAAATGGAGCTTCATGCGTGCATGGGAGTCCCACCGCTCGCGCAAATGGAGCTGCGCACGTCTGCTCACCCGCCGCTTGCACGGTCTGGTTCTGAACCGGCCCAGAGATTGGGGACCCCTGCTGTAATGTTTATTGGAAGACGTGTCAAAGGCCAGTCTCCATTCCAGAGAATTCTTGCTTTGAGCCTCTAAAAAACCTGGATCTTGTTACAGATTCCCAATTTTATTTTGTTTTCGTGACCTTCCTTCTTTTTCAGTTTGCTTTCTTCTAAGGATAGTAGTGTAATAAGAAGCTGGGAAACTTACAGTCTGCCAGCATGAGAGAGCCACAAAAAGAACATTGCATTCTTCATTAAGATAAGGAACTCCATTGTCCTTGATATCAGAGTAAGCAAACAAAGAAAATAAGCAGCTGGTAGAAGGAAGAGATCAAAAGGAGCAATTTAAATGCCATTGGGCACATCCTTGGCTTTGACTTGAGACATCGTTTGAATTCTTGCCTGGATCTGGCCAGACCAAATGGTTAACTTGTAAGGAGTAGCTGAAAAAGATGTGAACATAAAAGAAAGGAAAGATCAGAAGCACACACATTTATAGTCCCTGCAGTTCAGAAATGAAGTAAAAAGAAAAATTACCACAAGAAGAGATTTGACGGCCTCCCTATTTTCTCAGCACAGCATCTTTCACTGGCAGAGTCAGCACCTTTTGGTGGACTGTCGCTGGTGGACTCCAGACTATGGCAAATGAGGTGGAAAAATGGAAAATAGGGTTGCCAAGAACAAAGAGCTGAAAAAATTCACTAGCTGAGGGAGAAGAACCACCCAGCATGTTTGAGATTTCATTTATTTTAAAAACTTTTTTGGTCGCCTATCTTAAAACCACAAATCTGGATGGCTCATAACAGTTCTAGACAACCAAACACCATAAAAAATTAAAGCCAAAAAAAAAGCAGAAACAAAGAATCCTGATGCCATCATCAATCTCCCTTGATGCAACCAAGCCCACTATCCTCCAGCCTCAACTTCTTTGGGGGCTTTCCAGAAGGGGAAGAGGTGGGGGCTGTTGGATCTCAAGGGAAAGGATGTTCCAGAGGGCAAGGGTTGCCATGGAAAAGTCACATTATGGTCCAGATGATGGGTATTAGAATTTGAACCCTGAAAGTGATTTGGACAAATATCAGGATATGTTTCTTCACACAAGGTGTTTTTGTGGCCACCAAGAGCAGGAGACCTTGGTTGTTCAGTTGTGTTCTGGTTCTTTCTTGATTTTCCACTCTCTGAATGGAGTAGGGCCTTTGATCCAGTACTGTGGTTGTCATATTCCAAGAGATTGATGGGTCAGTTCAGGGACCAATTGATCTTGAACAATCATACCAAGTGTCACACTCCAAAAATTGGGAGAGGCATGACCCAATCAGCCTAAAATTTTGGGAACACCTAACAGCATGAAGGATGAAATGGAGAAAAGAATTTATTGTTTCTTACTATGTTAGGACTTCAAGTGTAATGACTGAAAGTCAGTTGGTCCAGGTTGGGACCAAGGTTGGTGATCAGGTTCCATTCTGCCTTTTGTTACTATAGACACAAATCCTTTGAAATGCAGCAATGGCCCTTGAAGGTGGACTTGGGGATAAGGCAGCGGCACAGTGATGTCAGGACAACAGCCCAAGTATCGGATTGTCTGTGTCTCTGGAGAAAAGCCCACAGAGCACTTTCTGCCTTTTTCTCCCCCCTTCCATTTATCTGTGGGTGGGGGGTACAAACAGAAGATGCGGATTAGAGAGTGGAAAGGAGGGTTTGGAATAGCAAAATGTAGGGAAGCTGAAAGGAAAAGCAGAGAGGTGGAGGCAGATAAGGGAAGCAGTGAGTGAGGGGCTTCCGGTGGGCTGCCTCCAACTTCTCCCCTCTGCTTCCTTTTTAGCAGCTTTTCATGCTTTCCTAGAGCTGGGAAAGACATGAAGGAGGGAGAGGAGATGTCCCTCGACTCAGAGCTGTACTTGAACCGCTTCTGAAGAAAGATTTGAGCCCACAAACACCTTCCTATTATGTACTCCTTTGTTGTCATCTTCTCAAGTCTTTAAATTCAAATGCAGTTTCCTTTTCTTTTCTGGCGTTTGCCTGTTGAGGCTCATGTTCCCTCTGAGCTTTCAACGAACTCACATAACTTCTTTACCCTCGGTTGTTTAACCAGTTTGGCAAGCCTTGAAACTTTTATTATTGTTTGAAAATGCATCGCGCTGATCTCTCGGCCTTTGTAACCACAGAGAAACAATCTGCCTGTTGAACAGGAGCTCAGCCCAACAGTTTTCATCTGCCTCACGAGGAAGTGGCTCGAGGGAATGGGATGGAGAACAGGGTGCCTGAGCCTGGCAAGAAGAATGAGTCATTTATTTCTGTTGGGACATGTGTGGATGGAAGCTTCCCAGTTCAGGTGCACAGTTCTGGGAAAAAGGTTTGTCTGAAATCCTGGAAGATTGCTCGTTATTTGGAGGGCAGCCCAGAGCTCATTGAAATCAGGGTGGTGGGCTTGTTAGAGGGTAATGCTTAGTCCTCTCTGGAGAATCTGAAGAATGCATGCAAATCTTCTCCACAAACTCAGGGGGGGCATGATAACCACAGCATGCCATCCAAATGGTCTATATATATTTCTGGACTCCTGAAACCATAATCCTGTTTGTGTAGGAGTGGCATTATGCTTCTGTCTAGTTAGCTCTCTAATTTTTGGAGCTCGGTTCTAGAACTCCTTGGCAATTTCAATTGTTCAGATTTGCAGAGATCCCACTCAGGATCTTGTTTTCCAGAAAATGCCTCGCTTGAGCCCTTCCTGTCTTTGTCCCAGCCGAAGCCTCATCTTCCAGGGATGCGTTGTCAGGGTCTCTCTTGACTTGGATTTCAGGCATGTAATGCTCAATGGGGTGCTTAACTCGAGAGTTCCTAATTAATTTGGGGTAGCTGATAAACTTTGGCATTTAGTCCACACAATCTTTTTGACATTAATATGTATAAATCCAGCAGAGAATTAGAGATGAACGTGAAATTGGCTCAGTGCATTTACAAAGCATATCTCGCTAAAAGCTAATTGTGGATGTAGAAGAAAGCATGAAATAATAATGCCTCTTCCGTCTGCAGCAGCCTCTGCCTCGCCTTCCTGTGGGTTGTTGGGTTTGGCCTCTCCCCCCCCCCCCATCTGCCTGGCTGGATCAAAGAGGTAAAGGACCCAGGGGTGATCTGTTCTTGTTACACGAAATGATGCTTGACAGATCCCTCTTTTCTCTCCGCTTAAAGCTGCAAGATGGCAAGGAGATGGGCTTTGTGTCTGGGCTCCCCTGTCTACAGTGGCCAACTCCACCCCACCTTTGCCTTCCTTGAATTCAGAAGCAGCAACTTCCCTAATGCAGGAACAAATCAACACACTAATGCTACAACACATGGTGAGAGAATGGTTGGAATCTTAATGTTGAACGCTTTCATTTTCACTTCAAAATATCTATGAAGCATCTGGGTTACCCAGAGTGCAATATGGAGGCTGGATCGGGTTCATGTTGACATGAGTGATTAACGGGGGCTCACCAGGGCTTCACAACCCTCTGGTCTGTTTTATCTGCTGATTTGATTTGTGGTGGAAACATGATTAGACCGTTCTGCATGGTGTGAAGGAAGCCGCTAGAGATAAGTCCGCAACTGCTAAGCCTAATTCAAGTCCATCTAATTAGATTGAAGGAAAGTCTGCCCTTTAGGCAGTCTGCAGTCCACTGAAATTGTTGCCAAATGTGAGGGTGGTTATTAACCTAGGTGGCTTTATGGAAAGACTTGACAGAGGTTAGGAGAGGAGATAGATGGGGTTTTGCTAACAATATGTATTGCAATGAAACTCCATTGTTAGAGTTAAAATCCCAGGTGCCACAAATGTAGTCACCAAGGGATTGTGTGTGTGTGTGTGCATGTATGTGTGCATGGTCTTCAGGTCTTGCCTGTGGATTTCCAGAAAACATCTGCCTTGTCATAATTGGAAGCTGGATTTTAAGAAAGGGCTGGACAGCCACTTGTCTGGAACGGTATAGGGTAGTGGTGGCAAACCTATGGCACGGGTGCCAGAGGCGGCACTCAGAGCCCTCTCTGTGGGCACGCGCGCCATCGCCCCAGTCCTAGGCCTTCAGCTGGGTTTTATAAAACCTTTTCGCTTTAGGCCTCCACTGCCGTGTGCAAAAAAAAAAGGTTCAATCAGTCAATTTCAGCTTCTCGCGGGAAAAAAAAAGATCTCGCAAAGTTGGAATTGATTGATTGAACGTTTTCATCCCACCCAGTCTGGCGTTACCACCGCAGCCACGCCCACCCAATTGGCCACACCCACCCGGACCCGACGATGCATAAGTGGGTTTTGGGTTTCAGTTTGGGCACTCGGTCTCTAAAAGGTTCGCCATCACTGGTATAGGGTTTCCTGCTAGAGCAGGGGGGTGGACTAGAAGACCTCTAAGGTCCCTTCCAACTCTGTTATTCTGTTCTGTTCTGGACACTGAACTAAATACAGACCTTGCATGTTGTCCAGGATGATGTTCTGGAAGGGAACGATGGGATAATGCTAGGAGGGTTTCCTTTCATGGCAAGGCTTAATCAAGAAACAGAAGCTTTTGATGGATTGGGCCAGAAGGAAGAAGGCAAAATCAATGAGGGAGAGGATGAGGAAAGGCTTGGCTTAGGATGCTGCAAGGATTTTGGTGTTTCTACAGTGATAATCCAGCAGATCAAGCAAATCTTTGGCTGGGTCCCCTGAACCGTAAAGCGCAGGGCCTCAGCTGTCTTCTGACTGGGTATGTCCAGAAATGAGCAGTCAGGAAGCTTAGGGGATTGGAGACCAAATCCTATGGCAGATGGTGGAGGAGAAAATTAATGCAGGGCATAAATACAGTCCTCAAAATATTTGAAAATGTGGTCTGCTGACTGGATCTCCTGCGGCTTTGGAGGGCAAGGGGTGTGTGTGTGTTGTGTTAACCTAAGAAGACCTTCCGACAGATGAAAGGTGTTTGGCAGTGGAACCAAGTACTGCAAGGAAACACCTGCTCCTTCTACAAAGGGCCCGAGGAAGACTCTGGCCAGCCACTGGCCAGGACGGTCCAGGAACATTGATGCTACAGAGCCTACTGTGGCCCAGAGACCTGGATGTGAGACTCTGCAGTGTTCCTTCCAAGTCTTTTAGTTCATGGTTAAGCAACGTTGGCCTTAATTTCTCAGATCAACCATGATTGGTAGCAATACAAGTTCTGAATGCTGTTAATGGTAGAAAAGGAGCTGCCTTTTATTTTCAGCATGCAGAAAAGAATCAGTTTATCTCCTTGCACCTGATAGGTCATTCGATTTAAGGGGGCGGGGGAAAGAGTTGATCCATGTTTGCATTTCAGAATTAACCTTACAGTGATATTTGACTTGGATTCCAATATACACAGCATGCACGACGTCATGGATGGAGCCCTTCTGCATTTCCATTGGTGCAGATTGTACTAAAAGCCCAGAAAAAAAAACACCCCAAATTAGAACAATGCATTCATGTCAGAACAGATTCCTTTCAATATTTTATTGGAAAAATTGTACCAGGTTTTATCAGAGATATTTTGCTTACTCATATAAACCTAATCAAGGAAAGCAATGAGTCATAGACACGTAAGAGAAAATGGCATTTGATATTAATGAGTGGCAATTAGATGTGCAATTAATAAGGGTAACCAGGGCCTTAAAGGGGGATGGATATTAGAGTTCCTGTCATCCTTCTTGATAGATGGCCCCCTTTTGCCCTTACAAGAAATTATTCTGATTTCATGTTTGGTATATTTTTGCCTCCAATAAATCTTTAGCTGGCATGCCAGCAACAGAAATCTTCCTTTCAGAGGTCTGAACAGTCCAGGTTAGCAGGTGAAGGGAGGAAGAGCCCACTTTGCTTTGCCTACTGTATCAGCTGGGATCCTTTTCCACGTCTGCATTTCTTTCCATTGTGGGGGTCTCCCTGAAAATTTGTACTCATTGAACATTTGTTCTCCAGCACTGGAGATGGATAATCCACCAATGGGTTGAGACTGTATTCCTGCCCAATCAGATCAGTCAGCCAAAGTTGCCACGCCCATCCTGGACCACGAGATTCCCAGTCTTGACTGATCTCACCCAGGAATCAGACGTTCAACTTTGGCTCCTAGGCAGGTATAGTTCTCTTCCATTGGTGGATTATCTTTCAGGGGCTCAGAGTTTAGGTTAATTTAAATTAATTGGATTCAATTGACTAAATTATTTAAAATTCTTCCAAATTGCAAATTGAAATTCAGAATTCCCAGAGGGATATCCACCCTCGCTAGAAAGGGGGGGATTCCCTTAAACTCCCTCCCTAACCCAAACCCCAATCCTCCACTTACCCACGCCGATAGCTCTTGATAAATAAAAAAGGGGGGGGGAAGACGGCCGATCGGCTGAGCTGCGGCTTTTAAGCCCACAGTTAATAACAACAACCGTCTTAGCCTCGTGGAAGAAGCAGAGGACTAGTGGGGGAGGTGCATGTGAGGGGGGAGGTAGCCGCGGAGTTTTTTCAGGCGGCGCAAGCCAGCTGGAAGGCGGAACGTCACCTTTTAAAAATCCCCGGGTTTTTTAAATGAGCCGCCATTACCGGGGCAGCTCAGCGCATGCGCGATCTCTTTGTTTCCGACACACGTGGCACAGGCAATAGAGGAGGCTTCTGCGCAGGCGCAGCAGCCATTTTGAGTGCATGCGCAGTAGTCCTAGGCCTGCGGCGGCCATTTTTTTGAAGACAAAGTACCACTGAGCGTGCGCAGCAGACAGATTGTACACGCGTGGCCAGGATCCTCTCTCCAGTTCTAAATAAACAGGGAGCTGAATAATTCCGAAGCATAGGAAAAGGTACTGGAGTCACAAGACTCCTTACAGACTCCCTAAGCATTTTAAGCCCTTTAAAACACTGTAAACTTGTTAAACCTTCACAGAACCAGATAGGTGTTCATAACTTCTTTTTCCAATCTTGGTGCCTCCCTGACTAGAATAAGCTAAGTGCCTCTGTTGCACAACCAATTGAATTATATTGTCTTGGCTCCATCCGGACCTTGAGCTCCCCATTAGTGGCCTGTATGTTTCTGGATTTTAGTGGTGAGTTCCAGGCATCCCCAGTCGTGTGCCTGCTCTTACCCATTTCAGCCTAAACTGGATTCCAGGCATCCCCATTAGTGTGCCTGCCATTATCCGAGTACAGCAATTTTCAGACCAATCAAGGAGTCTGTTCCTGGGTTCCAGGTGCCCCCCGTAGTGCACCTGTCCTTACTCAGTGTAGAAGCTCTCCTACTACCGGGGTTCCCCTATCGTGACTCTGCGTTAGTGGAGAATGGAGGAAGTCATCATTCCCTCTGCTGGAGCCTTGCCTTCTACTTCCAGAGCACCCAGTTTAGAGAGCTCTGAAGTACCAACAGCCTCTAAGATCAAGGTTGCCAAAAAGTCATCCAAGAAGGCAGACAAACAGGCAATCAGAAGGCACCAAGCCCTGGAAAAAGAATTCAGTAGGGCTCAGAAAAGGGCCAGAATAGAGAGGTGTCAAAATGGGGGGAGATAGCACCTGAACTACCAGTGGGACTGTCATCATCCCCACTGGGTGTCTGGTCTACTGGGGATTCATCTCAGTCTCCAGCACGAGGCGGGACAGGTGAATTCTCATCGCTTTCCCGATCCCCCTCACCACGTAGGACACAGGAGCCTCCGGAGACCACACTAACTCCGGCACCAGCAGGAACACAGGTAATTGCTTCCCCACCTGCTCTGACGGGGACCTACTAGCGACCTTAATAGCGCAGGCAGTAGACCGCGCATTTGAGGCCAGGGCTCAGACCACCAAACCCAAGCCGCAAAAGCACAGATCGAGGCACCAGGAGGAAACAGAGGACCAACAGGACCCCTCTTCCCTCTCAGACTCGTCGATCTCCGAAGATTCTTACCTTGACCAACCAGGTACGTCACAGGAGATCCAAATGTTCGAAGAGGAGGACAACTCACCTGAGGTGCCTTCCTTTAATGGCCTTTTTAACCCCTCTCTTTCTGTCACCATACTGCATAAGGCAGAGTCCACAGCCCATCTTGGTCAGGGGACAGCAACGGAACCCATCATAGTCGACATGGAGGCTGATCCCAGGTTCGCCAAAAAGGTAACCACTCAACACCACATACCATGTCCGACCCTGTTCCTAAACGCAATAAGGAAACAGTGGTCAGCACCAGCCTCCCTCCCTCTTCCCAGCAACACAGATAAGAGGCTATTCAGTGTAGCCAGGAAGCTGGAGGGAACTTTGGAAGTACCAGCGGTGGACGAATCCATAGGACCCCTGATATCGGACACAGCTATATCAGGAGATTTTGCAGAGGCTCTTAAGGCCGAGGACCGAAAGGGTGAGTCCGCCTATAGGAAAACACACCAAGCGATGACTCCCTCCCAGACCTTCCCATAGGGGGCAGGCTCGCCCAGTTTGCCCTCCAGTGGGAAGAAACCACCACGGACGTATGGGTCAGAGAGACCATACTCCACGGTCTCTCCCTAGAATTCTTCTCCAATCCCCCGAACTGCTTCTGCCCCTGCCCCTGTCCCGCGAACCCAACAAAGAGAAAACTCATGAACGAAGCCGTTCAACACCTACTAAGCATAGAACCGGTGCCTATGGACCAGAGAGGCCAGGGATTTTATTCTATCCTCTTCGTGGTTCCAAAACCATCAGGGGGGTGGAGAGCCATCCGAGATCTAAAAAGGCTAAATTTCTACCTAACATACCACAAATTCAAAATGCAGACACTGTGCTCCATCCTAGGAAGCGTAAGAAAAGGTGATTTTCTGACATCTATCGACCTCACGGAGGCATACTTCACATCCCCATCTCTCTGGCTCACCGCCAGTTTCTAAGGTTCGCTTACAGGGGACATCACTTCCAATACAGAGCGCTCCCATTTGGCCTATCATCAGAGCCCAGGGTGTTCACCAAGATACTGGCGGTTCTGGCAGCACACCTAAGGACCATTCCGGTCAGAGTCCAGTGTTACCTGGACGATATTCTAATCCAATCAACGTCCGCCCGCCATGCTCAGGCAGACTTAAAATTAGTAATAAAACTGCTGCAGGATCACGGTTTCTCGGTGAATTTTCTCAAGAGCCATTTAGCTCCGACAACGAGGATACTACATCTTGGAGCTGTCATAGACACAGTGGAGTGCAAGGTGTACCTATCCCAGGAATGCCCCAGCAACATAAGGGAAACAGTAAAACAGGTAAACCGCGGTCAGTCAGTGACGCTAGTCTGCCTTTCCCAACTGTTAGGGAAGATGATCTCGACCATAGCAATCGTCCCATGGGCAAGGCTGCACTCAAGGGAGCTACAGTGGTTCATGCTTCCATTTCAGAGACAGAAGCTCAGTGCATTCCGAAGAAGGGTAAGTCTACCACTGGGAGTACGGCACTCTCTCAAGTGGTGGCTATCTCTGGCCCTTCTCAGAGGCTCTCTCTTCAGGGAACCAGACAGAATAGTACTCACAACCGATGCAGGCCTGTTCGACTGGGGAGCTCACCTGGGGACCAAGTGGACACAGGGCCGCTGGTCAACAGCGGACCTCCGGCACAACATAAACTGGCTCGAACTCCGAGCCATCCACCTAGCGTTAAGACATTTCCAAGACAGCCTAACACGCAGTCACGTATTAGTCCTAACGGACAACGTGACAGCCAAAGCCCACATAAACCGTCAGGGGGGCATGCACTCCCACTCCCTGTCGTCCGAGGCACTCCTACTGGGAGCTTGGGCGGAACAAAACCTGGCCTCAATAAGGGCCGACCACATATCAGGGGAAACAAACACTAAGGCAGATCTGTTGAACAGAACAACAATAGACCACTCGGAGTGGCAACTGCACCCGAGGATCTTCAGGGAGATCTGCCACCGCTTCGGTCTTCCCCAGGTAGACCTGTTTGCCTCTTCTTCCAATGCCCAACTGATTCTCTTCTTCTCCCGAATCCCATCCAGGGGAGCAGAACAGACGGATGCGTTACAGAGCCCATGGCCAAGGGAGCTCCTATATGCATTCCCACCCTTACCTCTCTTTCCGGCGGTAGTACGCAAGATTCTGCGGGAACGGGCCGAGGTAATTCTTGTGGCCCCATATTGGCCAAGGAGGCCTTGGTTCGCAGATCTGAGGAGTCTCTCTCACACAAATCCATGACGGATCCCTCCGGAGAGGATCTCTCTCAGGCAGGGGGCGATCTCCCACCCAGAGCCACAATGGCTACAACTAGCCATCTGGCACTTGAGCGGTCAATCTTAACTAGGGGGTCTTGCTCACAGGGCGTAATTAGGGTTATACAGGCTTCAGGGCGCCCTTCCACGAACCGTATATACAAGGCCACGTGGAAAAGTTTCCAATCATGGTGCTCTAAACAGGGATTGCCACTCAAAAAGATTACAATCCCCAAGGTCCTAGAATTCCTACTAGGTGGTTTAGAGAGGGGCCTAGCACCAAACACGCTGCGTAGGCAGATCGCCGCCCTCTCAACAATACTTTCGGCCAGCCCTAGTGAACCCTTGGGTAAGCACCCCTTAATCCGATCCTTCCTCAAAGGGGCTGCGAACATTAGATCACCAACCGTGCACAGATACCCATCGTGGGAACTACCATGAGTACTGCAAGCTCTTACCAGAGCACCATTCGAACCACTCAAAACATGTGACATCCACTACCTGACCCACAAGGTAGCATTCTTAGTAGCCATCACGTCAGCTCGATGTATATCCAAGTTAGCTTCTCTCTCAACGAGGAAGGACCTGTGTCACTTTCAGAGGGACAGGGTAGTCTTGTGAATAGATCCTTCCTTCATCCCAAAGGTCAACTCCCTTTTTCACAGAATGCAGGAAATAGTCCTACCAGACTTTTGTCCAAACCCAACTCATGCCCTAGAACGACAATGGCACACATTGGACATACGCAGGGCGCTAAGGAATTCCGCCACTCAGAAGTGCTTTTCATATCCTTCCACCCCTCCTCTAGGAGCCGGAAGGTCTCCTCCTCCACCATTGGTAGGTGGATTAGGCATGCAACACTGGGGCATACCAGGCGGAGGCCTTGCCAGTCCCCAGGCATGTCACGGCTCACTCCACAAGGAGTGCTGCCACCTCGGCAGCATGGGCCATGCAAGCTTCTATTGAGGTTTGCAGGGCGGCCACTTGGGCTTCGCCTTCTCCATTTATTCGCCACTACAAAATCAACAAATACTCTTCTGCAGAGGCCTCCTTCGGTAGGAGGGTTCTCCAGCAGGTGCTAGACCAAAGTTACACACAGGACCAGTCTATTCCCCAACCCGAGGGACAATAGGCTTTGGTATGTCCCATTGGTGGATTATCCATCTCCAGTGCTGGAGAAGGGGCGTTGACTTGCCTTTTCTCAGCACGGAGATGGATAATCCACACCCACCCTTCTAGACAAGGATAATAAGGGATATTTAATTTGAGCCAAAACGTCTTACTGTCAGTCAATGGCTTCGCTCGTGTCAAGACTGGGAATCTCGTGGTCCAGGACGGGCGTGGCAACTTTGGCTGACTGATCTGATTGGGCAGGAATACAGTCTCAACCCATTGGTGGATTATCCATCTCCGTGCTGAGAAAAGGCGTTCAGGTAAGTCAACGCCCCTTCTCATTTTCATGCTGATTTTCTTACACAATTTTTTTCTTTTTTGCAAGTAAGCAGGATTCTCTAGTACACCTTTTCACTGATGCCCACTTTTTGATTAGAAACCACACTGCCAAGCTTAGATAAATTTGATAGCCAAAGGATAATTATATTCCGATTTGCCAGTTGCTTTGAGAAGTGCAGATGAGTTTTGATCAATATTAAAATTGGACCATGTTGCTTTTCTATCTCTATTTGTTCTCTGCTGCAGTGAAGGAGCTTGGCATCTCTGTTGGCAAACCGACATGTGTTTGAGGGTGAGGTGGGACAGATGGGCGAGGGTACACCTTCTGCCCAACTAAAATGGGGCTTTGGGGTGTTGGTTTAGCAGGAAGTGTAAATTCTGCTGCTAGGGCCTCTCATAGTGAGTATAATGCAGTTCAGTAGGCTCCAGGCAAATTGAAACATTGATCAGTGTAGAAGTCAACATTAAAATCCGAAGCCTTTCCTCTCCCTCCTTCAGATCTATCCACTTTCTTCACTGCCCTTTGAAGGGAGGGAGCCAACCTGACCCTGGGGAGCATGCTATTTGCAAAGAAGCAGCTATTGATGAGGGGGTTATCCTGCTCTCCATAATCTGCAGGGTCCCTGTCCCAAACCCTGTGAGACGATGTGGAAGAGATTCCACCTGGATAGACACTCCCCAGAATGTGAACAAAGAAAGCAAGGCTTTGTTAGGGGACCTTGCCCCGGGACTTAACCTGAGAACCCATCCGCTTCCAGAGAAACTCTTGGCCTCGTCTTTGCAGTCTGCAAGGCTTCTGCAGATAAGTTTTCCACACATGTTTTCCACCAGATTATGCCTACCCTAGATTTGAAAATAGCAATAGGTGAAGCATTTTGAAATCCACCTTTTCCAGAGAGTTCAAGGCTGTTTCTCTCTCTCTCTCTCTCTCTCTCACTTGCAATAAACCTCTTTCTCCCCAAGCAAATATGTGTTTCCTACAGCTGTGAACTCTATGGAAGCCGGTTAGATTTAGTAGAGGAAGCCAAATATTTTTTTTTCAGTGTAAAAGACAAGAATCCCCCTCCTCACTCAGTGGCACATGAGGGACAGTCGCCACCTGCAGAAAAAGAATCAGAGGAACCATGAAAAAACGAGCTCTTTGTGGCTTCTTATAGGGGTCCCTTTGGGAATGCCCCCACCTGTTTCAGTAGGACCCAGAGACGGTCGTACAGCACCTGTGGCTGTAGCTCTTTGCAAGTTTGCTGGGAATTTAATGAGCCCCCTCCATTACCACCTGAGAGAGCCCAGAAGGAAAGTGATGTGATCTCTGTCCAGGGACCCCATTAAGGCCTCTTAATGCTCCTACTTATTATCCAGAGCTGAAAATATTCAGTTCTGCTGCAAGCTTTTGCAATCAGACACATATTTTTGCACTGATAGTTCATTTCCCTCCTCCCTCCCTTAGATAATTTGTGGGTGTGCCAATTGTTCTGGCCTTGTTCTGACGCTTGTAGAAATGGATGGAAAGAAGCACTAGCAAGATCCTGTACTAGGAAGCCTCAAGAGGAATGCCTATGTCTCTCTGTGTGCACAGGTGTGCATTGTTTCATAGGTTCTTTATGCCTTTCGGAGAAGATCTGCTGATATGTTCATCTGATACTGGCATTTTAAACATGCCCCCCTTTGAAATGGGCCTGCCTGCCTTCTCCTGTATGGGCAATGGCCTAATAGTATCTCTGTTGGCTTTGCAGAACGTGATTCTGAGCAAAACTAAGGATGGAGGTTTTTCTTCTTCATTTATTGACCTGGCTAAAGAACAATTTTCCGCTCAAGGCAGACCAGAATCCCCTAAAAGTCCAGAGTATAATCAGGCCATACCATGAAAGCAAAGTGCAGAACTAAGATGTGCAGCGGGAATTAAAAAGGAAGACTAGAAGGAGCTCATTTCCTCCTGGCAGCAGCAGCAGCAGCAGCAGAAGCAGAAGACCATCAAAGCCGGGAAGGGCTCCTCTTTGGGGACAGGGAGCTCTCAGTCAAGGGGCTGCCACAGGGAAGCCCTTGTCTGAATCCCACCCATTGGGGTGGGAGATGCGGCAGGCCCCTTGGTTGTCCGGTGTGAAATAGTTCCCAGATTATGAAGATGGGATCCGCTCATCCAGGGAATGTCATTTACCCCTCCCCTCTGAGTTTGCACTTTCCATATTAAATCTCACCAACTCTGTAATTCTCCAGTGCTTCTTTTGTGTGAAATGGGAGTGCAGCTGTGAAAGGTTTTCCCACAACCATCAGAACCACTTTTTCAACAAGATTTTGCAGAGGGCGCCCGAGTGTAGTCAAGGAGCTCTAGGGGTCCAAGAGAAGCAGGTTGAAGCATGGAAAGATTCGTATTTAGAAGAGCCCAATTGGGGGAGCCTTGGCCAGGCCAAGGGGCAATTCAGTGGCGAGTTATTTCCGCCTGCTGTTTGGTGCAGTGGGACTGCCGTGCAAATAGCAGCGTGCTGAGAGTTCAGCACGAAGATTTCACATGCATGGCAGACCCTTCCAAAAGATGCTCCCTTTGTGGGATAAGAAGGGCAAAGGGAGCTTTAGGAAAAGGAGCTTCTGCAGAGGAAATAGCCGGTCTCCTCGTATGGACCTCTTCTGTGGGCACATCAGTTAAGCCACTCTGTATAACAGCACAGGAACGCAGACCACAAAAGCCCCTTTGTGCGGATGTGGATGTGTGGATGGGCTTTGGTGCATGGCTCTCCGTCAGACAGGCTTTGTGGGAATCCCTGGCTCTTCCTTGTAGGGAAGGAGATGGGATCAGGAGGAGGACATGAGTTTGCCTGGAGCTCCTCTGATTCCGATGTCTCTGCTAATTATGCTGAGAGTGAGTTAGCCATGATGCTTCGGCTGCTTTCCGGTAGCTCATGGCATGTGTGAGTGCTGCGATCATTCCCATGGTAACCGACCGGTGCCTGCAGCCGAGGATGATTAAATGGCAAGAGTGCATTAAAATATAATGTTACAGGCCCGGCATTCAGAGGTTCACGTTCAGGCAGGCTTCCGCGCAATGTCTACAAACAATTTTCTTTTTCAAGCTGCCATGACTCCTACAGAAGCAGCTCGGCACCCGTCCCCTCCCAGCCGAGCGAGAGCGAGCGAGCCAGCGAGTGGCTGCTGCTTGGGGAGAAGACTTGTAACGCCCGGTTTGTTGCCATGGAAACAGCCGCATCCCAAAGAGGACTGGAGGCGCAACCAGCAGGCTTTGGGGGCTGCTGAGCTGTCATTGGGAAGCATGTCTCTGTCTGGTGTGGAGCATGGGCTTGTTGGGTAGCCAGTTGTCAGGGATGGGGATAGAGATCTTCCATCTCCAGGCCTGGATCTCCAGTCAAGAGCCTGTGTCTCAGAGTTTCTTCCTGGCCCCTTTCAGAAAGCTACGTTTGCCTAATGAGGGGTGGGGGGCTGGCCCCGTGGCATTCCAGCCTTCTTGCTGAAAGTGGGAGCCATTTCCCTTATTTATGGTTGTAGTCAAAGCTCCAGAATGAAGCATTTTGGTGATAGATTGCAAGGCCCACTTAGATTTTTGCATCCTGTTAGGAGAGGTGAGCTTCTGGGGCGAAGGGCGGAATAGCTCCAGAGGTTCTCCCGGCTCCTATTACAGGTTGGTTGGTGATCTATTCCTGTTTGAGCAGAAGCATTGTTGGTGTTCAGGGAGGTTAGGATTTGAAATAGTGAATTTAACTCCTGCCAATCCTTAAGGGAAAATAACGCAAATGCCCTGGGATTGCGGTTAAACTCTTTAAAAAAATCCTTGTCTCGGAGAAGATTAACAATGAGCACACACTAAGCTTTTTATGATGGAAGCCAGAGAAAATGAAATGTGAACATAGAAGCAATGAATATTTTTATGGTGACTTTAACTTTCATTTCGTTTCTTTACCTGTTCAGATGTAGCTTCAAAAAAGGTATCCTTTCCTTAAAGGAGAAGCATCAGTAGGTGGGCTCCTAGGTGGCCGTCACTAAAAGCCAGGAGCTTTTTAGCTCTAGTCCCACACATCGGAGCTGTCTCCAAGCGCTTGGGTAGAGACGCCCACAGAATATGGTCAAAGCAGCCAAGATGGCAGCCACAACGGTGCATTGAAGCGCTGTCCATTTTTTATCTTTGTTATACTATCATAGACACTTTTTTGAGATTCTTGATCACACCCTGTGGACACCCTTGATTAGATTGGGAGACAGAAGTAGAAGCTAACTAGAAGAGACAATGCTGGGATTTCCGTGGGCTTTAGCATTCCTATTATTTAAGCTTAATAATAATCAGAGTGGCAGACATTTACAGGAGCTCCTTTGTACGGACCAGGGTGAGAGAGATACCCGGGTGTGTCTTGCCTATTGGCTGGGCTGTCCCATGCTTGTAGGAACTGTATTAAAATTTCCAGGGAACGTCAAATATCTGCCCTGGTATCAACAACTTTTCTGATGGTCTGTTTTCCTTTGGGCAGGTCTGCATCCAGTGTTTTTCAGACTTGGCTGTTTTAAGGTATGTGGACTTTAACTCCCAGAATTCCTCAGTCTAGGCCAAGTTTGAAAAACATAGTCACTCTATGTGTGTGGTGTCTCCCCAGCATCTCCATCCAATTGGTACCCCATAACCTTGCTGTGGTGTATTCATCTTTTTTAAAGGGGTTCTTGGTTTACATCCAAGTGGAAGGTTATAACTGGTCCTTGGAACTGGTGGCCAGGGATAGAGAGAGGAGATGGTATAACTTTCTGGGTCCCGACCAGCGGCAGACTCTTCAGCCCTGAAAGTTTGGACATCAGATGTCTCTTTATGAGGAGTGTGTATGCGTTGAGTGCTGTATTTCCAGGCATCCCAATTCTAGGCAACCTCTTTTTTTTGTTTTCCTTCAACAGCCACACACACCATTATTGGCAGCCATCAGGGTGGGGTGATGGATCAAAGACAACCGGTTAGGGAAGAAAGCCTTGCAGAGCTGATCAATCTTGCCACTTGGTTTAAAGCAGGAGCTGATCAATCCAGGTTTTCTGGTTGACTGAGGTTTCTTCAATACTCTTAAGGTGGAATTTTGGGTTCCGTTTGATGGCTTTGTATGACTCCAGTTGGAAGCTCTACAAACTATTTTGAATTATTCATTGAGGCATGATGACAATTGTGCATTTATGCAAAGGCTGCAGCCACCTTTGATTCTTCCTCTATTTGACACTATCGCAGCCCAGTGTTGGCCTCAGCTAAGAATCTCTGGATTCTCCTTCAGGTGACTGGTGACAGTAGCATGTTTTCAAATGGGAACTCCACCACAGGCTGCTTAATTTGGCACCTTCTTTGCAGTGGATTTACAGATAAAAGCTCCATCACCCTCCCCACCATCATGAGGACATGGGTGAAAGCCTGCCTGCTGTAAAAACTCCACCCTTTTAAAAAACAAGGCTATTCTATGGGTGAAGTGCTTTATTTTGTCCACCTAGTTGATGAACAATCTAAATCAGGGGTCTCCAAACTTGGCAACTTTAAGACTTGTGGACTTCAACTCCTAAAATTCCTCAGAATTCTGGGAGTTGAAGTCCACAAATCTTAAAGTTGCCAAGTTTGGAGACCCCTGATCTAAATCCTACATCTAGTTGTGCCCAAATATTGCAATCTGTTGCAGATAGGTTAATAGTTTCAAGGCATAATGTATATGGATTCTTTTCCTCACGAATGGCCCATTGATTCAATTCTGCCCTGGGCAAATGCCAGATGGCTGTGGATAAGACTGGGATGGTTCTCCTTGGAAGCTGGGCTGAATTGATTGCTGGCAAACATCTTTTGTCTTCTGTGGCCCCTCTGGAAGCTGTTGGAACAATACCTGGTAGCCCCCAACCAGTATGGCCAACAGAGAGGAATTCTATGGCTTCTAGTAGGCTCTCCAGGGTGGAGGGTCTCCATCCTTGGCCTACAGTACTCTGATGTGGATCTAAGTTACCTGAATTATCAGCTTTCAGCTTCTTCACTGAACAGAAAAGAGTAGGCAAGGGGGACCTTCATTGCATCAAAAGCCAGCAGGGCCAGTTTTTGCGAATCTGTTGGATTCACAAGGTTTGGGGTTCAAGGGCAGAACTTTGAAAATAACACTTAACACAAACTGTATTTGTTCTCAGATTTCAACTGCCAGGATTTGGGTACAAATTACTGATTATCCTTTCCCTGGCTCTGCTGTGGATTTAACTGAGTGGTTATCTGGATTAAATATTAATCTGTGAAAGTTCTAATAAAATCAGCAGCCTTGTAAGCTCCCATTCTAGGTCAGTATATCTGTGGTTGTCTAGAATCAAAAAGAGGAGACCCCTGCTGCATTTCCCATAACAGGAGGGGGGGTATGCGAGTTTCCTCCCACACTTTAGAAGGGGACAGACATGGTTGAAGCTGACGATCATGCAACAGAGATTCCTATCTTCCAGGCCATATAGCATTTAGACAACAGCATGATCCATTATGATAAATTGTGTGGCCCAAAGCTCAATTGCCCCAATTCCAGCAAGTCTGATGGGGAAGGTCTCTAAAAAAGTCTTTGGAAAGCCCATGATGGGCGGTTATGTGCACATATATTC